ATAGTTAAAAGGTGAAAGAATAGGGTTTGAGGAAAAAATAGAGCTAAGTCAGTTTGTGAGAATTTTAGTGTAAAGTTTGCAAATGTGTTCAATCAGGATGATAGGCCATATGAGATTAAGGTCATCATCAAAGGTGTTGTATTTGGGAATAAGATAAATTCTACTATGTTTCTATTGTTTAGGAATTCTGTTTTCAAGAAGGCATCGATTAAAAAGGGCAGTAATAGCCAAGATACATTGGGGGCTAATGTGTTTAAGCATCTCATAACTAATGCCAGTAGGACCACAGGCTTTATTATTAGGTAGTTGTGAGAGAGTTTGAAGAAGTTCTTCATTGGTGATAGGAGAGTTAAGAGAATGATACCAGTTTGGGTTGATGTGGGGAAGTGGAAGGTATTATTGTTTCCAGAAATTATTAAAGAAAGTTTCATTAATAAGTCTGAGTGCAGTCCAATTATGAAAATGAGATTGGACATGTTGTTTAATGAATGATGGGTCAGTAATAAGTTAGTTTGGCAATTTTATGTTTGAGAGATGAACAGGTTGATGATAGCAATTGAAAATGCTATTAATAGCCTGAATAGGATATGTAGTTAGAGTAACACATCTTTTGTCAGTAGCTTTATTGATTTGTTGTCAGAGTAGAAGAGAGTTTTCAAGATAACAAGCATGGTAAAGTTGTTTTCAAATGGAGTAGGCATGTTGAAGCCATAGTTGAATACAGGAGGGGTAGATGAAGATAAGTAATTAAAGATCACATTGTGACTGTTTATTAATTTGGGAGATGTTTTGATTAATATTTGAGATGTTAGAAGTTTGGGTTAGTTTTTTAACAAGTTTAATAATATGTCCAAGTTTTTTAAAAGAGAGATGTAGTAGGGTACTATAAGGTAAATACTGGTAAGCTTGTTTAACTTTTATTTCTGTTTATTTACAAAATTTTATATATAGGTTGCATGTTTTGCTTAAATAAGCTTTATGTTTAGATCTATAGCATTACTTACAATTATTTTTGCATGAACAAATAATTCTTCTACCAGACTATTTTAGCTACTAATAATCTTCAATTTGGGTTCCTGCATAGTTTTATTTAACCTGTAGGGCCAGATAAGAATATTTTGAATGCTGGTAAAAGATTTTAAACTATCTTAAAAGCTAAAAAAAACAGAGTTTATTACAAAGCTATTTCTTAGACAAACAAATTATAATTATAATTATTTTATATTTCAAACTATAAACTAAAATCTATTAAATCATACTAAAAGATATACAAATATAATTTATTTCTTTTTATTAGTTTTGAGTAAAACATCTATAACCTCTGTTTTAGGACAAAAGTAAAGGCTATTAGAATAATTTATTTTGGTATTTTGATAATCTGTAAATCTGTTTATCATCATTTTTTTCTAACAAATCTTTAGATAACTAAACATCTCATTTCTTAACTTCTAATTATTTGTGTCTATAATCCTTGCTAAAAAATCTGCTAGTTTTTTTGTATTTGGAATTTAGTGAATTTTGTAAATCTGTATATCATTCTTTATACAGAACTTTCATAAGCTTTAAGCTATTTCTTTTTGTTACAGATAAGCTTCACTCTGTATTACTAATTTTAGTATAATTCTGTTATTAATAAAAAGCATTATCTATGAGTTTCTTATTAAATTTGCAAAAAACTAAAGAACTCTTAAAACTACTAAGCTTTCTAGTTGTGCTATTTCTGTTACTACATAGAAACACAATTAACTTATTGTTATTCTGTAACTCAGATATGTTCTATATCATTCTGTTATTGAAGTTTCTACAAAAATTAACTTTATTAATAATGTTTTTTATGTTGGCTTTTTATTTTACTATTCTAAATTTTTATAAAATCAACTTATATTTTCTTTCGCTTAAATTATCAATGTTATTATCTTATTTCAATTTCAATATTTATGATTTTGGATATCTATTAGATCATAAAACTCTGAGCATTTCATCTGAATAGAAAGAAATATATAAGCTAAACTTTAAATCCTTCTCACTATTGAGTCTAATTTCCTTACACTTAGTTTTTCTATTTCTATTAATAAATTCAATTAAATCTTTACAAATTTTAACTTTTTCTTTGGAATTTGAACTTGAGCTAACTTTGTATCTATTTCTAACCTGAAATATTTACTACTTGAGCTAGCTTTCACTGTCCCTTGTCTAGAGCTCTTATTTAATTACAATTTCTTAAATCTACTGAAACTACTGTATTTCTTATCTTTAACAACTCTTTTTTGTTTGGATAGATTACTCAAATATCATCTAGATAATTGTTATAAAATATTTCCCTTACTTTTCAGGAATCAATTAGAGACCTCATGATTTTTGAAAAAATCTAAATTGCTTAAGAAAGACCAAAAAGAAGAACCACATAATGGTATTAAGTTTTTTTATTTTAAATTCTAAAAAACATTGTTTATTTTTATATAATAGTAATTATCTTTTAAATCAAATATGACAATCCACCAATCTTGACTGATAAACTTTAAAAATCCTTTCAATCTATTGAAATAAACTGTTTTTTTTGATAATCTCTTATTCATTCTTAAATCTACTACTAATCTGTACTTTTTTAAACTGTTATTCAGAATACAAAATATAGGACTTATCTTTAGCAAAACTCTGATCTTATCTTTCACTGTGATACCTGATGAATTGCACCTGTTTTGCATAATCAATATAATTCTTTTGTTAGTCAAGCTTTTTTCTTATCAGTAAAATTAATCTGCCATAAAACCTTTTTATAAAATAATAATTTTACTCCTTTTGAAAATAGTGGTATACCTTTTCTAACCAATTTTTTACTAATGCTAGTACTTTTATTACTTGTTTTTAATAAACTACTATTTTCTTAAATAAAACTTTCCAGTCACATTCTGCTCCATTCTTATCTCTTTCAACTTTAATCTATTCATTTTGTTCTGAATGTAGTTAATTCTTTTTAAAGTCTGATTTATGAAAAGATAATTCTATCTTCTTATATAGACAATTTGTAACAATATGACCTTTCTTTTCACAAACATAACATATAATATTACTCAATTTGTCTGACTTCTTTTTAATATTTCTATAATCATTTAACTGAAACTGTATGTTTGATCAACCTTATAGTAGTAAATTGCTATACTGAAAGAGAAACTAACTTTCTTAGTAAAGTATTTTATTACTAGGAATCTGTTAAGATTATGAACTAAATATTTGTTGTTGTTGTATCATTATAGGATAATACAAGAGTACACTACTTAACTCTTCAAAAAACTTTTGAAATAACTGTATATTCTGAGTACAAGAACTCAGATGTAATTATAAAAAAGCCAATTGAAACTTTAAACTTGATACTGCTATAACATAGTCTGTTTTTCTCTTTTTACTTTTAATTAACTGCCTTACTGCAATTAATTTTTCTCTAAAATCTGCTTCTATTAACTGAATCTCTTGAAGCTATTACAATGTTCCAACCCATCTTATTAGTAATACAAAAAGTAATCCTATATATAAGCTAGTTTATAAGCTCTTACTACAGGTTCTAATGACTTTGTTAGTAAATCTTCATATAACTCTTTTTCACTTCTGTGTCACTTATCAGATTCATACTGATCTCTAGATCTATCCATCTTAATCTTAGGCCAAAACTTATTTTTCTCTACTTTGTTACCAATAACATACAAACTTTGCTTCATTTTACCTAAAGCCTTAGCCAATGTCACTTGTAATGATTTCTCTAAGAACTTTTTCAATATCAAATATCTTCTTTCTTCACCCAACCTATCCTTCTCATTATGGTTTATAAACCTATTTCTCAATGTTTATAAAGTTGTTTATCACTCTCTTTATCATAAATAGACTATACTTGCTCTACATTATTACTTGCTTCCTTTCTATGAACCTCTGCTTCTTACCTATTATCAATATAATTAACATGTTTGCTAGCTTGACCTAACTGATTCCTAATGGCTAAATTCTTTCCTTTTAACTTGCTTGCTGTTTTTGCTGCTAACCTTTCAGCATCTCTTTCTTATTTTTCACACTAGGCAACTCTTTCACCTCACAAAGCACATGTAATATATCTACTGTTAGTCTATCAAGGTTATTTAAGAAACTTGTTTCTGCTACAACATTCTCATCTGCCAGTTCACAAGGAGACATGTTAAAATCCCTATTCAGTAAAGGTTTTTTGTACAAACTCATAAAATGTTCTATTTAAATATTCATATATAACCATTCATTTAGACTTATTCAAACTTATTTAAACTTTATTTCCAAGTATATGTACTTTAGTTAAAACAGGTTTATTTTGAGCTGACCAAGCTAGACATATTTGTCGAGCATAGCAAAGCTAAAAAGACAACAAACTGATTAAATATAACTGCTATAAATACTAATACATAAATTATATAATGTGTAACCTAAACCTATCAATATATTACTGTCACATCTAATGTAGTAACTTATTTGAAGTAGCACCTGGCTAAAATTAAGCCTCTGAAATTAGATCTTCATGCATGCATTAGATTTTAATTTTAGCCAGAGTGCTACTTTAGATATATAAAGTGGCTACTTTAGATAAATCGCTACTTCAGATGTGACATTATCACATATGTATTACAACTAATCAGACTATGATGTATTTTGTATGTCACTGATTGTAGTAATTTCTGGTTCGTGACAAAAGAGCTACTCATGACTTTGTCTCGAGTAGCTTTCAAAAGCCAATCATATTATATGATCAAGTGTAACATCAAATTATTGCATTCTTTAAAAATCATTTATACCTCATAATTTTGCTTTGAAACCACCTTTAGAGTGTTAATAAAAAGAATCTCTTGTGAAATTTTGGGATAAACAATTTTCTGCATCTATCCTAAATCCACTCTTAACTCAGAAAACACTTGATTTTTCATTTATAAAAATTGTTTTGATTTAAACATTGCATGTTGTTATAAATTAATACCTATGTACTATACACTACATACATATTTAATAATTTTCTTTTTCTTAATATTTAATAATAACTAGATAAAGATATAAACTACCTAAAAAGATAAGGGCATATGTAACTTGTATATCTCATATTTATAGTTGGCAGTAGAATTCATTTAACAAATTAATATGGTGTTACAGGTTTAATGTTGAGTTCAGAGATGGGGGCAAATGCGATGAATGCTAAAAAAAGGGTTATGCTGCATAATGTTCCTCAAAGATAATAGGTCGTTTTTTGATTTAACACTGGTTGAGGTGATCAAAGAGGAGTGTTACAAAATAAATATTGAGATTTTAAAGAAGCATTTATTTATTTTACAAGTTAAAAGAACTTTATTAACTTTATTAATATTTTTTGTAAAGGCAATACAAGTGTATTGTTAGAGGTTATTCAAATTATATTGAATTATGTTGGACTATTCTGAACTACTCTGAACTATACTGAGATCTCTTTCAAAAGGGGAAATTCTATCTTTTTTATAATGAATTAAACAAGAGAAGAGCTTATGCAATACCATGACTCTCCTTATTATTACAAATACTTTCCAACCTTATTTGTTATAACCTTTAACTCCCTTCTATACAGCTTTTCGTTACTTTAACATTTTTCACAGTTTTCATAGTACCAATAAGAAATGTTTCAGTTTTTTGATCTTGGGGCCAGAACTCATCATATTGTCTTCAATCACATCTCTCTTGACATTACCTTACACCTAACCCAAGTAAGGCAGGTGGAGTTAACATCCATTTCTAGCACAACAGGTTGGTCTAGGTCAACCTTACTTTAATTAGAGGGGTAATTGGGTCTTGCATGAAGGCTTGTATACTTTCATATAGCTTCTTTTGAGGCTGGGCACACATGTTTCAAATAGATCATTATGGGCAACTCTAATTAGGTAAGTATGCCACAATGACATCCATTTTACAGGTTTCATGAGATGTCGGTTTTACCTTTGACAATGGTTACAGTATATGTTTTATTATTTTCTGTAATTTATTTGAGCTGTAATGCCGTAACTGTAATGCTGTAAACGTAATGCCATAACTGTAATAATGCTATGTCAAAATACAATAATGCTATTGTATCTAGACAGCATAGAGAAGATTCATTGTAATTGGTTAGATTTTGTTGATCATCTCATGATTTTATTTGCTAATCATCCAACAAATTATGAAATAATCGAGATAATCATTGTGATGATCATTGAATAATGATGGGTATGCAATATTAATATTGGTCTTTAAAGTTTTACTCAAATATTAAGACACATAATTATGCATATAATAAATGCACTTAATACTTTATAATCTCTTATAAAGAAGAAAGATCAAATTTATTATTGTGAGATCAATAAATTTTATCTATTCTATCAATTAATACAGTTCTTTTTTGTCTTTCTTTATGGTTTTATTAAATATTGCAAATAGTGCTAAAATTTGAGGGTTTCGAATTGAAAATATAGAATCTAATAAATCTACATATACTGTTTTGCTAACAATACTAACTTAAATCCTGCAAAGAGATATAAATAAGTAGAGAATATATTAGTATAAGATCTAAAAAAAAAGTAAATAAAATATCATTTTAAAAGTAACAATAGTAAAAGCATAAAAAAGAATAAACATATCATCTAACCTGTTATTTATAAACTGCAAACAACATCTTGAGAAAACTATAAATATATATATATATATAAAACTAAAAAAAGTTAAATTGCATAGTTTAAATATATTACAAACCAAATAGAAAGTTTTAGAATACTTAAAAAATAGTTCTCATCTAACTTCTGAATTACCTTACCGATTATCAAATTACTTTATCATCTTGTAAAAAAGAAGGTATAACTTCTAAATATTTATATCAATCTTTGCGAATTTATATTTGTGGCTGCAAATCAATGTTTGTGACTCTTGTACCAGAAAATCAGTACTTTAATAATACTTTAGTATAACAAGATAATCTACAAAAATCAGCCAATCACAATAAAAGTTTGCTATGCTTATCTAGATACCATAATCTATGGTGTTAAAATAATATAATACTGCAATTAATGTTGTTAGACAAAACCTAAGGGTTTTATCATTGATGAAAGTTGAAACCTAGTTTCGTCTTTTGTCAAAAAAAAATTGAAATGATAAAACTGATGAAAGGTAATTTGCATTAGTTAGGTTTTATGTCCATTTTAATTTTATTTTTGTATGTTGGCATTGGGCATTAACTGCTCGATAGTTTAATTTATTATTTGATTGTGAGTTTGTCTTTTAATTGAGTTAAATAATTGATTTTAAAAAAAAAAAGTTGTATAAGCTAATTGGTAAATTTCTATAGAATAAGTTTAGATCTAAAAATATTGAACATTTATTTGGCATTCTGTCTGATGAATATATGTTATCTGCCTATTAATAACTATTTATTACTTTTATTAGAGTTAATTTAAAAATTCAGCAAGGTTAAGATTATCTCAAATAGCACAGCAATATCGTGAGAACAATAATTATTTTTGTTCTATAATAAAGTAAATTTGAATTAAGCAATTTAAGTCAGGTTTAGCTGTATAGTTGCTACTAAATTTAGTTTTTTAATGTATTTTTTTTGCAAATTTAAATGGAACAAAAAATTAACAATGCTTTTAAACAACTAAAATTTTGATAATTGTAAAAAATTTGCAAATAAAAAATAAAGCAAATGGGAATTATTGGCTTGGTTACTGTTACGAATTTGGAATAGGGGTTAAAAAGAATAAAAATGAAGCATTCATTAATTATCAAAAATCTGCCAACCTTAATAATAATTTAGAAATTGGAGTTAAAGTTAATAAGCAAAAAGCATTTTAAAATTATTTGAAATCAGCCAAGGTGGGTAATTTAAATGGAATTTGGAAGACTGCTTTTTGTTACTATTACAGAATTGGCATGAAAAATAACATAATTAAGTTTGATGAATGAATTAAAAAGCAAAATTTTCAATTTTTAGTAATTTAAAAATTGAAAATATTTTTATAGAAGTTTAATAATTAATTTTATTTATTAGGGAGTAAGTATAAAAAAATCGGTTAATTACAATTAAGTTCATAAATATTAATTAATTGCTTGTATTAATTTAGCCTGTAAGTATAAAGAACATTATTAATCATTGAAGATTTGAACAACAAAGCAAGTTCATGAATCAAGAATATAAATACTTATTTATCATTACTATGATGTAATCATTTTATTCACATTAATTTAGTTAATGATATAAAGAACATTTATTAATCATTGAAATTTTGAACAGCAAAGCAAGTTCACAAATCAAGAAATAAATACTTATTTATCATTCTATTATATAATAACTATTATGAAATGCTCTTTAAATCATTTTATTCACATTAATCATTCATTTAGTATGTGAGTTAAAGAACATTTATTAACTATCAAAAATTTTGAACAGAAAAGCAAGTTCACAAATCAAGAACATAAATACTTATTTACCATTACTATTAAGTAATATCTTCAAATCATTTCATTCACATTAATCATTTATTCAGTAAGTGAATATAACATTTACTAATCATTGGAATTGAAAACAGCAATGCAAGTTCACAAATAAAGAGCATAAATACTTATTTACTATTACTATTATTTCATTCACATTAATTTAGTTGGTAAGTAAAAAATCAATTTACATTTGACATAAAGTTTAAAACAGAATGGCAAATAAAATAATAAAATAAATATATTATATACTGTGATTATGAAGCAACTCTAAATATGGTAAATGTATGCATTGTAATAATATTGTATTCATGATTTTGCAACTACGTTTATGCAGATTTTCATAGTGGTGATATTTTACAAGCCAACATAATAATAAAAATACAAAGTCCTATATTGCAGATCTAGGATTATCTAAAAAGAAAGATGAATTTCTTCAAAAGATGTGATTTATGAGTAATGTCTGGAGTTTGCCTTTTCGCCTTTCACTGTAGATATTAGGGCTATGTTGTAAATCAATAGCAAAAGATAATATTTATATTTATGCATTGCCAAATGAAAACAAAAATCTCAAGCCTTTATTTGATATTAGACAAATTTGATTCAATTATATTTGAGTTTTATTAAATGCATTACCAGGAACAGAGTGATGAAATCATGAAGTGTATGGCTTATATGGTGTTCTAAATAGG